ATAAGTGAGATGTTTACAGGGAACACAGTCTCCCTCAACACGATCTTTTCATGGGTTGTCAGAAAACGGCAGGACAGAAAAGGTCAGCGAGCTTTCAGCAGCAGCAGCAGCTCTGTAGAGATGCACCTCCTCTTTGCTTTACAGCACGAATCCTGACACAAGCAAAGATTCTCACCTTCAGACAGTAAGAACAACTCAAACATCAATCTACAGCACGAGTCCCCTGATAATAAAAGATTTAAGGTCACCATGTTACGTCTATTTTTGCATCTGATAGGTGATTTTCTTCAGCAGGATGTCTTATTTTCTTTTGGTGTGTTACAGTTGGAGGATCTGCAAGAGACAGATCTGAAAGGTTAGAATAGTCAGAGACCTCCCTCCCTTCCTGTTAAAAATCTGAAGTCTCTCAGCCCAAAGTACCCAAACAGTGTCACAGCCACTTTCCTGAACTCAGAGCTCCCCCAGAGCCTCAGATCCTGTAACCTGAGCCCCATGTGCAAAACTGGAGTCCACTTCAAAGATCTATTTGAGGCACTTAATGCATCTAAAAACCTTGAACATGTGATCACAGTGGGGTTTCCTAAATGCCTTCACCCTGCCACAGCGGTGTCAACTAAACACTCAGCGCCCCCCCGTGGACACAGGAGTCATATCAGGCTGTAGATCATTAAACCTTCTTACTTCGTTATTCACGTCATTCACAATCAACAGCTCTATGAGCAGCAAAACCCAAAGCATGAACAGGAGGTGATGCAGCAGCTACTGGGAGCAGAAGCTGTTCACGCTGCGATCCAGTATCGGATGTTCGCTGAGCTCTCATTTCCTGACATCGTCTTTTAGCAAGAAAAGGTCTCTGTGGACAAGCTGTAGGAAATCCAGCTCACTGGCAGTGTCGAACATGTTTGATCAGACCAATCGATCTGTGCAAAAGATTTAAAATACATGAGAAAGTTCAAGTGAAAGTTTTGGGGAAATGCCGGCAGCGTGATTCCTCCCTGGCTCCGGACTAAAGCACCTTCCACCTGTTGATGAAGACTTACATTCATTCCTCTAACTCCTTTTGGTTCATGATGGTTTAAATAATTCCAGCCTGCTTCATCAGCAGGATTAGACACATCTGTGTGCATATATATATATATATATATTTAAAAGCTTTCTAAATTTGAACACTGTTGTTTTGTTTCAACCTCCTGATCCGAGGCAGTCACCGCTGACACCAGCTCTACCCTTCAACCTCCTTCCCTTCAGCAGAGTCTGAGAGGCTGAGACGTGTGAAGCAGCTTCTCACATGACTGCAACGTGTGAGCGCGTGCACAATGGAAAAGCTCAGAAGCTTAAATCGTGTGTGAGTGTGAGATGAGGCGTGGACGTTATTAGCAGCTGATGCATCGGAGGACTAACAAATGGGCGACAAAAGGTGAAAGAAGAGCGAAAGTCGAATCACTTGTGCATTTATACGTGTAAACTGAGCCGTGTGACCTAAAACTTGGAAAAATATTCTAGAATGTATTTTACAGTTACAGTCGTCCTGGCCTCCCGCTAAAGACGAAAAAACAGCTTCAGTCACTGAAAGAAGTTAAAACTGACAAACGTAATAATAAATAAAAACTTAGTGAACATCATGACGTTGTTCTGAATCGAGGTTCAACAGAAATATATAAAAAACAACAAACCAGCC